TTCATCATTATGTTACAGAAACCCCAGACATCTGTATCTATGTGATAGCTAAGGTTTTTTTAAGAAAGATTCTGACATAGTTTTGACTTAACTTATAAAAAGAGCTTAAAAAAAAACAAAACACGCTCTGGTACCTGACTCTAGCAAGTTCTCAGTACATATAATTTACATATACAGTTTAGGTAGCCGCATACACACAACCCAATCTTGGTTGTAATGCCAGATTGCTACACTTCGCCTTTAGAGCCACCTGTACAATCCTGCAAAATGTTTTACTCACTTTCCAAACAACATTCCTCTTCAGAACTATGTCTTAACTTATGCTTCAGTTTTCATCAAATGAATATTTAAAAAGACATGAAATGTTGCTATGCAGTTCTGTTGCTGTTGTGTTGAAAGCTACAATTGGGAAGTTTCAGGAGGATATTATTATTCCTTCTCTCAGCTTTGAGTTTAGTTTGTTCTTTTCTAGCTCCTTAAAGTGTAAAGTTAGGTTGTTGATTGATAAATTTCTTCCTTTTTAAAAATTTTTTACATTTATTTTTCAATCAGACTTGACATACAATATTATATTAGTTTCAGGTGTACAACATAGTGACTATACAGTTAAATACCGTACAAAGCGATCACCATAATAGGTCTAGTACCCATCTGACACCACACGGTTATTACAGTACTGCTGACTATATCCCTGCTGTTGTACCTTACATCTCAGCGACTATTTTTATAACTGACAATTTGTACTTCTTAAGCCCTTTCACCTTTTTCGCCCATCCCCCTAACCCATCCACCAAGTAGCCATTAGTTTGTTTTCTGTATTTTTGAGTTTATTTGGTTTGTTCATTTATTTTGTTTCAGATTCTACATATACGTGAAATCATGCAGTAGTTGACTTTCTCAGACTTATTTCACTTAGCATAATAACCTCCATCCATGTTGTCACAAATGGCAACATTTCATTCCTTTTCATGGGTAATATGTACCACATCTTTATCCATTTGTCTATCAGTGGACACTTAAGTTGCT